CTCCCGGCAAAGGAAATGATAGGTGCAAAAGTCTAGGGCAGGATGAGGTTCACCTGTTGTTCTAATAGCAGGGGCACCAGTGTGGCTAAAGAATAGTTCAGTTGTCCCTTGGAGGAGCACTCAGGGCTGCTAGGCCATGGCAAGCAAAAAATAAATTATAAAAGTATTATAAAAATATTCTTTTTTAAGAGAGAGGGGAGAGAGGGGGGGAATTTTTCAATATTTATTTTTTAGTTTTCGGTGGACACAACATCTTTATATTATTTTATGTGATGCTGAGGATCGAACCCAGTGCCCCACGAATGCCAGGCCAGCGCGTTACCGCTTAAGCCACATCCCCAGCCCTAAAACTATTCTTATTTTACGTTCTGGATATAATTGACATATTAAGATAATTCTTAGAAACAATAGTGAAGAAATCTTGTCCATTACTGGAGTTATAAATAATTTTTCAGAAAAAATTAATAACTCAAAATGATAAACCTCACCTTACCTGTGATAACCATTGCATAACTGTAAAAAGGTAACATTTGCAAAATTAATGAAGCCTTTCATAAATTTTTCCAAAGACCACTCTTCATTCTTTTATATTTGATGCATCCCTTTCTGAATTGATATGTCACCAGCTTTGTCAATTTTTTTACTCTTTGGTTGCTATCACCAAAACCTTCCTTGTAATTAGTTTTGAATGTGATTCAAGCTGTTCACAAATATCATTTTCATGTGTTTCCAAATCTTTGTAAAAATTGAAATTTCACTTAGTAATCAATTTACATGGTATCTATATTTTATGTTCAGATGAGCCAGAGAGAGATTGGCAGACAAAAAGGTGGACTTGACATACCCTAGCATTAATTAGGGAAGAATGTTTGAATGGAGACCAACACTATAAACAGTCTGTTCCCAGTGTGTGTGTGTGTGTGTGTGTGTGTGTGTGTGTGTGTATTGGTATCAAGACTTTGCTTCTGTGGGCACCTTTGACTTCTCAGAAGTTCAAATATTGACTACTCAGATAATGAGGCCCCTTTTTTTAGGGTGTAGGGTATTGGGGTTGGCAGAGGAAAAGATTAGAGGACAGGGAATCAAGGAGAGTTTTGATTTTTTTTT